AAAGAAACCAACAGCTTCCCCCCTTCTCCTGTTAGAAAATAACCCAAACGCTCACGGCTCGGTCTTAGCTTCTCCTAGAGGGCTTGCTTTCTGTCTTTCTTTTTTTCTTTATATTTTTCTTTTCTTGTATTTTGTTTTTAAACCCAGCTCTTCCTGGAGCCTCGCAGATTTAGGGGCCGGCGCTCTAAAGTAATTTCATTTTATTGAGTACTGTACTCGAGGCTATAATGCCTGCCCGGTTGTAAACAAGAATGACTTCAACTTACTAGGGTCTAATTCGTTCTTTTCTTCTTTGTGTTTGCTGGAGGCGATGGCTTCGGACTCCGGGGATGGAATTGTCTGCGGTGCTCTGTCTCTCAGGTCACCCGGGGATCCGTACATATAATCCGGATAACCTCGCCCGTCCATCGGGCCACATTCCGCCCTCCGGCCGGGGAAAGCGTCCGGCTTGAGTCCGTAATGCCTGCTGCTGGGTGGGAAGCCTGGGAAAGACACAGCGCCGGAGATGGGCTCTAGCCAAGTGCGCATATACCTGGTGTCAGCCCCTATGTGCGGCTGGTGCGTATACGGATGGTACACCACGGACGACTGAGAGTGCACGGGAGCCCAGGAAGTAGTGAACACGGCCGGCTTAGGGGCGAAACTGCAGGACGGAAAGTCGGCACAGTCCGGTACCAATCCCGAAGGTCTGGCGGCCGCGGGGTGCGAGCCCGTGGCGGGGAACCTGGACGCCAGGAGCTCGTCGTTGTCATGACTTATCAAGGAATCTACATAATAGTTGCTTATGGGGCCCGACGCGGACATCCTTCCCCCCTCTTTTACATTCATAAGATTATTGTATGAACTGTATGTGTACTTTTTATCTGCTCATAGAACAATCAGGGCAGGTAATTATTTTTTCAGCCGTTCCCAGCCGGCCATTGGCTCCCCGCGCTCACGTGATTGTATTTACCCAAAAATATCGCGCGGATCAATCCGCAGGTCTTTTTTTAATAGCGCCTCGGCGACCTGGCTTTTGGCGAAACTCTCCGAATCCGGCAGATATGGGGAGGCAGGCGGCTGGCGTGTCGCTAGCCCGAGGTGGCTGCCCCCGGGGGCTGGGGAGGGGCGGGGGGCTCCAGCTGAGCAGCCGGGAAGGTGGGGAGGGTAAGGTAACCCGGGAACTATTTCTTGACGTAATTTGTCTCTGTCTTTTTGCTTCTGCAGCTTGTGGTCTATAATGGATACAGTCCCCGGAATATCAGTAAAAAGACATCGCTGGGAAGTCTGGGAGAGTTCAGCCTCACCCCTAAAAAAAGCCTCCCTCTCCCCTGCAAAAAGAAGTGGCTCTTTTGTCATCACATCTAGCGCTAATCACCAGCCGGCCACATGCACATGTAATTTTTTTTTTTTTTTT